TGTTGGGGGGACTTTCATTTCGTATGAAAGTGCATGAAGAAGAGATTCGTAGGTCGATCTCACCAGAAGATAAAGGACGAATGTCGTTATACTGCAGCCGTTTGGCTTTAATACTACGTTCAGGTTGACTCAGTCTATATAAGATTTAAGATAGAGCCGGATAGTCTTCTTGCCATAGTGTTGACGTGAGACTTTTACAGGAATGAGACCCAGCTCTTATGATGTACATCGTATGATTGACGAAAGCTCAGTCCGTGGACTGCATCAACCTGAATGTCGTATAGAAGCCAAATGGCTGCAGTACAACGGGATTTGTCCGTCCTCTTCTGGTGAGATCGACCTACGAATCTCTTCTTAATGCACTTTCATACGAAATGAAAATCCCCCCAACAATGTCATCTCAGGAGATTCTTCGAAACCCAGTTTCTCTTCGCAACTTATATGACAAGAATTACTAGATAAATAAACAAAGCTCATATTAAAATGGTTTTACCTCACATTCATAATTCAATCGTATTGTCAGGGAGACCTGGATGAACGCATCTTGGTACATTCCTTGCCGAGTTGAAGATTGGTGCTATAAATGGAAAGGTGTTCTGACAATTTCGGCGAAACGTCTGGGAATGTATCACGTCTAAGGTCAGAGGATGGAAATTATCACGAATATAATGGCAGAGGACTTGGTGCATGATGCGTTCATCTAGATCGCCGTGACATGATGATAAAATTGTTAAAGTAATGTCAAACAACTTCTTTTACCACATATTGACTAGGAAAGTGCCAAAATTTCCAATAGATATTTATTAAGAATCCGAATTACTCTAAATCGTTTAGGGTGATGTATTGACTGAAAGTTAGAGTTTAGGCAACCAAGTGATTAGATGGCCTCCAGATCCCACTGAAATTCACCTATTCTTGCCACCAAGATAACCTTTCCATCTAGAATGGAATGCATCACACCTAGCTGGATTCAAAAGAAATTTGCGATCTTACTTAAGAGTTGATGGCATCGAAACATGCAGACTTGATATATCTCCACTAGATGCAGTATAGCACCATTTTTCCGGAGTGGTCTTGATATATATAGCCCTAGTGCCCGTCATCATCCAACTCTCTAAATGTGAGCTATTTGGTGGAGCGAGATGGATATACTCTTCTCGCTAGTTCAAGCAATATCTGTTTCATCGCAGACAACTGGCGTAATCATGTCCAGAAAAAATTTTTTTTATACGGTGCAGGCTGACTAGCTTAAACAAGCTTGTGAAACTAATGCAGAGAAACATTACAAGGGATTATTATAATCATTACAATGCTCTCACAAGCCACAAAATGAACACGCATTCATTGGCAATATTTCCACAGGCCAATGTATTCGCTTAGAGAAATAGGCCTTTTGTGAATCAAGCTAATCTACTAGGACTGATGATGATTTACAATTTGCCCATATGTTAATATGATCGAATAGTAGCTCAATATTAGATCATCGATTTCAGGTTGACCATCACTGTACCTGTGGCCTGATAAAAGATTAATTCGATTCCTTAACACATCGTCGCCATGGTAATGCTGTATAACGGGTAACATATTTTGATGCAAACCCATACATAAAGAATTTCAATCCTATGTACATTGTGGTTAAGTTAAAATTTAGAGGAAATATAGTATGGCAAATTTAAATAGCAATTTCAAGCAATATCTGCTATTCAATTAAAACAACTAGTTAGGGATTAATAAGACTATACAAAGCTAATAGTCTATTTAGTAAATATTATAGTGATGATATTTGTAAACTTTCCTTATATAACACTGCTTTAATTCATGCCCTAGATACATTCACCTAATTAAATTTTGCATCAGTAATTCTTAAATTATTTTTACAAAATAATCTCTCCTTAAAGAAATATATTTTCCCAGCATCTATTTTTCCCTCTAAAGTAAATGATATAAAAGAGCTAAACCAATTCAGATTCAAGCGATCCTTAAAGGTGTACGAAATAACATGAATAAAAAGTGATTTTTCGGGGCCAAAAAGCCAGATCGTAGTTGAAATTTCAGGCAAATTTGTAACAATAATGAATTATTAGATGAGCTGTTAGTATTATATCTCATCTCATGAGAAAATATTTAGTATTAGGTTTGACGAGCGATTCTGCTTAAGTATAATCGTAGTGCATACCCAGATTCTTAAAAAATTCATAAAAATTAAATAAAAATAAGCATATTTATATAAATATTTTTTGAAAGAAATTCAACAAGTCTGAATTAATCCTAGTCCAAACATCTTAAATGTCCAAATTTGCCTAAACTTTAAAAACTGAATTATGAAGAGTAACAATAAAGTGTATAGTAAAATAGCATTTATTAGTATTGCACAGATTATGAGGCCTCTAAAGCAAACATTGAACGTAAGCGAAGTAAAGATCACGTAATAATGATCAAAATTAGAAACTATGTGTATTTCGTTTTGAGTAGATTTTCGAGGCTATAAGTAAATCATATATATGAGTTATTTTCACTCTATTTCTTTTAAGGTGATGAGGGACTGGCAGTTAAATTTCCCCACAATGTTATGAGCAGAGCAGAAAATATGTGCAGAAAAACACGAGGCGAAGTGCAAAGCTGAGAAAATGCGAAGAATTATGAATAAAAAATAAGAAATTGGTAGTCAGTAAAACTGACTGACAAAAAAAACGGGAAAAGAGTCTTTTCCTTCAAACCCCAAAATGGGGTTACCTATTTATTCAGAGAATTTATGCAGAGCAGAACTGATGGACGTTTAGCCAAAAAAGGTATCTATAACTCAGTAACAGCCAGAGTTATTGTGCTTCAAGCAGAGGAGAGAATGAAGAGACTCGCCAAATGAAAATATTAACGAAAAGGGCAAAGATCCTTAATATGGATCTGTATTTACTGTACTCCACAATTTGACATGCGCAAGAATTTCGGTTTTCTTAAATCAGATAAGAAAGAAGTTGAAAGCATCCAACAAGCATAATTTCGAAATAGTTAAAATAATCCGCAAATGGTGAGATAATACTTTCTACATAAAATAACCTATTAGAATAACCAATCATGTTATCTGCTTTTAATTAAGAATTCTATTAATGCTGAAGCAAATATTTTACGGGAATGCAGACTTGAAGAGGGGCATGGCTTATTATGACTTGCTTTAACGACATAATGAAATTTATATGCGATGTATGAATCTCGAAAACCCACTTATTAAACAAAAATACAATGTCCTCTGCCACGCATTGTGGCTTTAGCAAGACAACTAGCTATATTAAGGGAGTAGCTGCCAGATCTTGCATTGGTTTCTCATCTTTCCTGTGAGAGCGAGAGAGCATGCTTGTACTTACAGTGGAGCAAGAGCATTGACTCTGGGAGCAATGGCATCCAACCAATCAAACGAGATATACACAAGTAGAGAAGAACTTACCAACTTGAGCCTGGGACCGGCTTGTTTTAGGACTTCAACAGCCTCATTATGCGTTGCTCCCACCAGATTAAGGGAATTTGCGGCAATTATCCGATCGTACAGCCTAAAGGGTTGGAAAAAAATAAAAACAATCAATCATAAATTCTGCAGGGAAGTATAAGATGAACGGAGAGGTATA